GAGAGAGAGAGAGAGAGAGAGAGAGCGCGCCCGAGAGAGAGAGAGAGAGAGAGAGAGAGCGCGCCCGAGAGAGAGAACGAGAACGAGAGAGGAAAAACACCACCCACCGATGTTTACACAACTGCTCCCATTGGGGCAATAGAGGAAGGTGGGACGCGGCTTCATTCGCTCCCACTCACATGGGAGTTCAGGAACTCCCGGTTTTAGTTCATCAGCAATGACCATCCAGCCAGCGTCAGTTGCACAGGTTTCGTAGCTTTTCTGCAAGAAAAACCTCCTATGCTGTCCCGAGCTGAAAGAATGATAACAACAAACGTAGATAATTACAGGCTTACATGTTCATTCGCAAGTAAAGCACCTCAGTTCACACGTCTAAACCTAATAAACACGCTATCGGGTTTTCTTCTATTTAAATAATTGCTTGCGCAAGCACGCGCTCATATGTAACAAATATGTATCTCACTCTGGCACATCGGTTATCCCATCGAATTATCGATCAGTCGGTAAGATATATCAAAGGATATATCGGTCGACATATCAGTCTGATTATCGGTCAGTCTATTAACCTCAGGGGACATCGTTATCCAGAGTCTGCGCTTGCACACTCGCGCACAAGCGAAGTGAATATACGACGTGAAATCTCCGGTTTTATGGCGACGCAAAGCCGTGTTACCTTCCTTGTTATTACCTAAAACAACACTTGCCGTGTCCGTTCCTATAATTGATATAGATCGGAATATGAGCAGTAGAACGATCTCAATAACGTACCCTGCGATGCTTGCATACTGCATGGGTTCCGAGTAAGGGAGGTCTGAGAATGAAGAACGCATTATCCTGTCTTGAGAAAACCAGTTTACTTTGTTGCTGTCAACACCGTTAAAGTCAACGAATACGACTTCCTCATCTGCCGTTAGAAGTGACACTTTAACCTGCGAAGTTAAAATAGTCGTTTGCATATTGCTATTTAACGTATGTCTAGCAGTAACAGGAGCGGAAGTAGTAGTAGCAGTAGCGGTATCATTAGCGGTACTAGTAGCAGTAGCAGTAGCAGTATAGCAGTACCAGTAGTAGTAGCAGTAGCAGAGACAGTAGTAGTATTAGCAGTAGTTTCGTTATAGCTTTGCTAATGAGCGTGTAATCTCCCCACGGGTTCATTTACTCTATTTCTATAGTCACTCAGTAATGTAATATATATTCATACGGCTG